AGGATAGATTCCATGAAGCCAGGCTCTGTGGGGCAGGAAGCCATCTGTGGTTTCCCCTCATATAAACAGCCCTGGGATCAACACAAAACCCCATAGGGCATAGGTGCCAATGCTGTGGGTGGTCTGGGGCTCAAGCACACACTGGAAAAAAAAAAGGGGGTGGGGTGGGGGGTTTCAGCACCTGCAAGCCACAGCATGGGCTGCAGGTATAAGAGGCTAGAGGAGGCTAAGCCTTCCCAAACAGGGCAAGAAGTGCTCAATGTGGTGTTCCCTTTGGTGGTGCACTGGCCTGATGCCTTTGGACCACTGCCGCCGTCACTGGAAGCTCCCAAGAAGTTGGGGAGCCACCAGTGCCTAGACTGTGCCCCGCCCAGGCTCTGCCCCAGGCCCTGCTCCCACTCAGCCTCTTCCCGCGCCCCCCCCCACCATGGCCCTGCTTTTGATCCACTTCTTCCTGCCCCCACTCTGCCGCTTCTCCCTTGTGGCTCTGCTTCTTCCTGCCCCCACTCCAAAAGCACCCACCAGCCAAAAGAAAAGTCAGTGTCTATGCCACCGAGGTCATGCCAATGCTGGGGATGGCCCTTATTCCCTTCCTCGCCTGAGCCTAGGAAAGCAGAGCCCAAGAATTACACCTGATTAAGTCCAGCTTTGCAAAGGGTCAGCCCTGTTCTGATTTCCCCAGCTGTTCAGGGGTTGCTTCCGTAGGAAGGATGCCCCGGCCTGAAGTTGAGGCACCTTGAGGAATGTGGGTTCACCCCTCTTCTCACTCACAAAAGACAAATGGGAAGAGCAGGACCCAATCCCAGGCATAAGCTCAAAGGTTTTGGGGTGACGAGACCTTTGGGGACACTTGAAAACTCCCCATATGTGACCTGCTAGTTTGATCCAGAGGGAAAGATCTATATCTGTGGCTACATATGACTGATTTGGTAATGCTCAGCACTGATTTATGGCAAATGTATGGTGTGTGGTTATGGGGAAGGCTTACAGTGTGAAGGTCTGATGTTTGAAATCTGAGGAGGCGATAATAGGTACTCCATCTAGGGAGGATGGACTTCCTTAGAAGACAGGGTGAGTATTCTTGTTCTGTCCTTTTCTCAAGGGGAGAGATGTAGAGAAGTGGGGACACAGGCCTGCCACTTGAAAGGGGAGAAAAGGGTCTCCGAAGGGGGAACCTATCCAGAAACTGTGACAGGAGCATCATGGGGGCAGGGGGGAGAGAAATCTGGGAAAAGTTTGTCACTACCACCTGAAAACTTCCAGGATCACACCCTCCAGCTGTAGCTCCATTCAGCTGTGCAGATTTCCACCAGACATGGCTCCCAAGGTTATATCTGTAGCAGAACACATTACACACAATGACATCCATAGCAGTTAAATGGGATGCCATGAAAAGAATATGATAAAGACCAAAATTGACTAATCTGTGGTAAAACAGATCTTAGGTTACTCCCATCTCAGAGAGAGATATATCCATGTTAGAATCCTGTTCGGGAGGAGTAGCTTGGTGATACAGTAGTGAAAACATGCCTTCTGGTGGTGGTGTTCATCAAGTGAATTTGGTGGTGTGGTTTCAATTCTTATTAAATACCACAACTCTGCGAGCAGGGGATGGCATTGACTAGCAGTATTTATGTGTGTTTTCTAGCCTTTCAGCACTAGGTTCAGTTTCGATTCTGGGTATATGACTGTGTGCATGCGTGTGTATTCAGTATCTTGAAACCCTGGGCTGACTGCCATGCGGTATCTTGGAAGCTGTACTGTAATAGAGAGATAGGAAAAAGAACAGTTAAGCCACAGTTTATACAACTCACTGATTTATTGTAATAGTGAAGCTCTATTTTTCTTTGCTGGTACTTCTGTGAAAAACAAAAACAAATCCTTTGTGCAGAGGTGTTTATTATAGTCACTAATCCCATCTGTCAGATGTAAAGCAGGTTTAAAAAGAGAGGTGGGAAATCCAACTGAGATGAACTGACAAGAACCACTCCCAAAACTCAGAACTATCTTAACGGAATTGTTTGGAAGCTTTTTTAAAAAACAGTTAATTAAAATGTATACACTCCCCCCCCGCCCCCAAATGTCACATCTCATCTTGATTCTGGCCAGGAGCGGAACTGGGATTCTATGAGAATTGGATGACCACATGTTTTTTTTTTTGCTGGGATTGAGTTGGGTTTGCAAGACAGCCTCAGCATTTCAGAAGTTCTATTGAAAGTGGGGGTTTCTCTCAATTTGAACAGAACTACAGGTCATCTGGATCCCCAAAGCATTGTAATGTTGTGAGCACAGCACTTCAGTGCCTCTGTATAGCCCCTCTACCAATGGCACCTTCTTCCAATTGAGAACAGAAGTCCCATCAATCCAGCAGCAGAGGGGATGAGGCTTGAAGACATGGACAAGGGCATGAGCATGGAGAAGACATGGAGGACTGCTTCCACTCCTCCTCTTTGGGCGAGGCAGATCATGACCCTCCTGACAGACTGACACTTGTGGCCAACTAGCAGATGTTTGAAGTAGTGTGTGAGAGAGAGATTTTAAAACTGTCTGGGAGGAGAGGTGGAAGGAGAGAATATGGATATAGTGTGGGGAAATGTGTGTAGGGAGGGTTTGGTGGATGAAGGGATAGGTGTGGCGCTGCAGAGAGCTGCTCTTAATTAGTTTGCTTTAAAAGTTCAAGCACGGAAAAGTTTCACAGGACCTCTCTTGGCTTTCCAAAGGTGAATGTAGGTTATATGGATTGAAAATATGTGCATTAATAATATTATTTCCTTCCCATGAGTAAATAAGATAAAATATTATCAGTATTTGTGCAGATGCAACTTAAAACTGTGAAAGAAAACTTCTAGGAGTGAAGCAGATAAGGATAAGGTTTTGTTTTTTGTTTAAACGTTGTAAACAATATCTGTATTTCAGAGATTGGTTGCCAAGAAACTTAAGAATCTTTTGAAATAGTAAGTGGTTAGGGAATTTTCCAACTAATAAATCTATAGAATTCTATTGCTGTTTTCCCCTAGATTTATGGTAAAAATTCTACTGCTGGATTAGATGTTGTTGTATTTGAAACTTTACAAGAATTTGGATTGATGAAGTGAAAGGGTGTATTGAAAATGAGGCTCATGACCTTAGTGGTCAATTGCACCCCATATTAGATGCTGTGTGTATGTATCTCATGCACAATATCTTTGAAGACTTCTCAAAAGATATTCTCCAAGATGCTTGGTCTGCCAGTCTGGCCCTGCTAATGGGAAACTGGAAATAAGTGGAAAGCTTGCAAGAAAAATCTGTTATTTTGACATTTCTGACTAATGATGCAGATAGAAGAGCTTCAAATACAGTTAATATAAATACCCAGACTTTCGGTTGTTTATCTGAACCATTTGAGGTTTGCCCATTGTTCAGTCTGTCCTAAACTCTTCTCTGTCTGCTCCGACATTTGAAACAATGTTTCACGTATGCCTCTTTCTGACACTAGATTATTTTTTCACTTCCTTGTCCATTCCTGCTGATCCTTTATCTCTCATTGTGTTGAAACTCAGGGTTTCATTTTATTGTTACTCAGTATGTAGAGTGCTTGCAAGGAATAAATGGGGAGTAGGGATCAGCATTCACATTGCACTCTCCTTTAGTACCCAGCGCAAGCCGGGGAAGCTAATGATCCAACCAGCAGACCAAATTTGACGATGAATCCTGGTGATGTGCCACCCGAGGCACGTTGAGCATATGCTAAGAAGGAATAACTTGTGTTGGGGGATGCAGTGTAATGTCTCAGGACCAGACCAAACCCATTCTATTTTGGAAGCTACTCCTTTGCTTCAATGAACTTCATATGAGTCTGATTTTGTTATCTTTCTATATTGTATAAACTCCATAATACCCAGATGAGCTTGGATTGCCACACCTAGCAAGAGCCACGCAGCTCACATGTGACTCTGGCCTGCAGACCAGGTAAGTTCTCATGTAGGCATAAAGGCTGTAGACACGAAGCAATTGTTTCTCTACAGTGACTCCTCTTAGCCACTAGGGGCTGGTGGCATCAGATCATCTCTTGCTGCTCTCCCTATTGGATCTAAGCCAGGAAGTCTGGGTAGCTGATAGGGACGTGAAATAAAGAATCCAGTGCTCGGTCTGGGTTCCCCCCCTCAACTCCTTCTTCCACAGCTTCAGCTCCTTTACCTCACAACCCAGCCAGATGTCCTAAGCTTTCCCTCCCTTTCCCCAGCTTTCAACCACTTCTCTGTTACAGGAGTTCTCTATATATGTATATATGTTAGTGGTTAGATAAAGTGCTAATAGATATGCAGCACTCAAAGATGTGTAGCATAGTTCCTGGGTTTTATAGGACCAATCAAACTTCTTATCTTGCACTTGTTCCGCTGTGCAGTTCTTTACATTGCTCTTAACACCCATCTGTCAGTAGTATAAGGGGCCTACATCAATCAAACATAGTCTCTGCTCCCTGACCCCTTGGGCCCCACACACCTGTCACCTTAAGACCTGCCCCTTGGCGATATTACTTCCGGGGTCAAGACGGACACATGACCGGAAGCAAAGGGTGTAATGTGACCCTCTAAGAATTCTTCCCACCACCCTCTTCCAATCAGGATGGGTTTCACCCCCCATAGGGTCGCCCTGAAAGGAGATTTGACCAATCAGGGGGGTGTACTGGGGTGGGGTGATCTGTCTGGAAGTGGGTTGTGTGATCCATCTAAGAACTCTTCCCACCACCCTCTACCAATCAGGATGGGTTTCAGCCACAGAGGAGCTCCCTGAGAGTGGATTTGTCCAACTGGGGGGAGTTCTGGGGTGGGGTGACCCCTTTAAGAGCCCTCCTACCACCGTCTACCAATCAAAGTGCAGCACCACCCCCAGAAGTCCCAGTGCCACGTGGAAAAGGTCATTTCATTGCAAGAATGCATGTTTTAGAAATTGCGGAAATGCTGAGAGGAAACCACCCCCATGAGAACTTTGGACTTTGTTTTAGCTCCGAGAGCCTTCAATCGCCCACGGAGGAATGGCTACATCAGCGACAGCTCCGAGGAGGGGGAGGGAGCATCCAAGAGGAGCTCTTTGGCCCAGCAGTTGATGGATACGCCAGCACCTGACGCCAAAACCCAACCGCTCGTGAGGCAGCCCAATGAGCATGACGGTCTCTCATCATCCACTCCCCTAGAGGAGGAAAGCGACCGTGGCTCCTGGGAGTCACTGGTGGACAAGGTGAATGGGAAAGATGTTGCTCAGATAAATGAACGATTAAGAAGTAACGGTTGAGGATGGGGTGTAATGGGGTTGGGAACCGACGTGGGGTTGCATAAATCTAAAACCAAGCAGTGGGGCCACAGTTGTTTCTTTTCTGAAAATCTCTCAACGGCTCAACGATGCTTTTCTAGAAGACCCGGAGGCCTGGGGCAGCGTTGCATCAGGCAACGAAGACAAACTGGGCCCAACTTGTTTTTGCTCGATGCTGGTACAAATCGTTGACGAAGACGCCGAGGATGATGGCTATATAGATTTAAGGAGGAGGCTTGACATGGAGCTAACTGAGCCAGTGCCACGTCATGAGTGTAAAAATGTCATGCGTTCTATGGTACGTGTTGCTGTTTATGCTGTCCTTAATCACTGCCTTAGAGAAAAGCTTTTAGAAGATTGTGAGGACTGTGAAATAGATGTGCCAGCCCAATGGTACCATGGCTGTGTGAGTTGGACTTCGGAGGATATAAACTGCAGCTCCGGGATCTGTGCGATGACCTGTGTTTGGAAAGCTTATTAAACACTGTTATTGACATAGGTTATGCTTTGTAATGTCTGTGCATAACCCAAGAAAATTTAACACAAGGGTAAGTACTGTGCAATTGAGTCGAGACCCTGACAGTGTTTTAAAGAAAATGACCAAACCAGAAGATGCCTGCTTACAGCAATATATTGACCATCTGGTCCGCACAAAAAGTTACAGAATCCTGCTTAAGAAAAAGACTATTTGTAAGAAATCTAAAAGGATCAAGTTACAGAATGGTGAGGGGACAAACATGCGATATAAAACTTGGTAGCTGTAAATAGAAATATATATTGAAAAGGGCTTTGTGATTATCTGTTTTTCTGTTTGAAGGTCTGTGGGGCGCTTAAGTAAGATAAAAGTTTTGATGGAGCAACTTGGTTTATTTTCAAGGAGCTGTGTCTTTTAAATAAAAAAAATATGCTCCTGACGTGGCATTGGCTCAGTTAGTTCCATATCAAGCCTCCTCCTTCCGGTCATGTGTCTGTCTTGACCCCGGAAGTAATACCCAGGGGGCATGTCTTAGGATGACAGGTAGGTGGGGCCTGAGAGGTCAGGAGGCGGGGCAACATTTGATTGATGGTCTGCCCCTTATAGTACTCCTGTCCCATTACCAACCTCCTTAGCTGCCCAGGCAGAACCTCACTGCTGCGGGTCTAGCAGCCTCTCCACGCCCTAATCTGAGCAGGCACTTGGGATCATTCTGCATTTCCCTTTCCTTTGAAAATGGCTATAAATTCTTTTACAATTCAGAATATTGCACCTAGCATTTTATCTTCTGTGGGAATCCTGCTACTGCCCTCAATCTCAGCCCTTTTCCTTGGAGGAAAGGAGCATGGGGGAGGAAGTTTCAAAGAGTGTCAGACTTAGAGAAGAGCTCATGGGGACAGTAGGCACATGAGTTAGCAAAGGAGGAGGCAGAGTTGTTTAACAAGGACGATGTGGGAATTAAATGAAGAGGAAGGGTATGTTGAGTGATTTAAGAACAGGACCAGAGGAAGTGACTATTAGAGCAAGGCTTGAGAATGGGTGGATGGACAAAGCAGAGGGAGAAGGGGAAGATAAAGGTAAGGACAAGAGTGGTGTAAACAATTTTTTTTTTTTAAAAAGTGTAAGGGGGCAGTCTGCTCCTTTAAGGGCCCAGGAAGCAGGTGACCTTGTTATTGAGAAAAGCTCAGCAGTCCAGGTGCTGGGAATTGTCTGACCCAGCTGGACAACATTTAGTGATTGGATCTGAGCCAGGAGATCTAAAGGAACATCCCTGCTCCATGAGGCTACCTGGGACCAGTGGAGGAGGGCTAAAAATGCACTCTCTTTTGGCTGCAGCAGAAGGCTGTGAGAAGACAGGCAAGCCCTGCAGACACCCATAGGCTGAGAACTGCTCCAGTCCATTAGCTATCAGAGGCCAGAGGGTCTCACAATCTCTGCTGAGAACAGGACTGTTGCTTTTTTGTTGTTGTTCCATTTTCCCTTCTTAGTGTTGAAGGATAAACAGAGCCCTGAGAAAAGGGCTACAAACTGAACTGGGCATGACTGATTGTTTGTCACAGGCTGGAGATCGGGTCCACCAGCCTATGCAGTGAATTTAGCTCTTTTCTTTTCTTTTTTTTCTATGAATTGTCCACACACACATGGTGACTTTTACAAATTTTACAGATTACTTTGATAATCGTTGGATATGTTTATGGGTTTATGTGATGGAGTTGTCTATGCTGAATAAAGGTGTTGAGTACAGAAGTCAGATCAATGCCCTGGGACACTTTGGACCTGAGATCTTTTCTTATATGGCTATTGTAATAGAACAATATAATCCATAAATAAGTGGTGCTATAAATCAGACGTTTGTTTGCTCAATCAATAGATTAATCATTAATCATCATATTTAATAAATCAATGGTTCTTTATTAATCAACTGAAATCCAGCACAGGACAGATTTAATTAACTGGCACCAGTATTCTTAGCACAATTCTTTGTAATTCCAAATGCTGGTAAATATTTGCATTATGAGAGCAGATATTGTACAATGTACTTTAGGATGTTCTGTTGGCAGGTGCGGCTCTGACCTCTTCTGAGCTGTCACTTTTCTTGCAATCAAGTGGGTCTGAAAACAAAGTGCTGATGTGTTGTCAGCAATGGTCTGGTATGTTTGCAGCGAAATCTGTTCACATAGACTGAGCTTCTATTCTCCTGATGACCTTATCTTTAGGGAAACTTCTTGATGTGCTAATCAAGGTTTCATAACATATACAATATAGAAAAAGAGACACTAAAAGGAGGGAATTCCAACGGTGTACATGTTTTTAACATCAGAAATTCCGAGTCAGGCTACTCCTAAAAGTACATGAAATTCTGGTTTTGATCCTTCCTCACTGAAATCACAGGGAGTTTTTCCATTGAATTGAACTGGGTGCAACATTGCACACTCAGTGACATGCTCAGGGTTGCAGAGCAAAGTCAGGGGCAGAGCCAAAAAGTAGAACCCAAGAGTGCTGACTTCCAAAGCCGTGTTATATCAGAAAGCTGTGTTCTGATAAGCAGTCAAGGGGCCATTTCCTCATTACAAAGGTCATGAATTTTGTCTTCAAACAGGGATTTTCTTAAAGTTGTAGCTGTTAATATCTGGTTAATCTTATGCATCCTTTGAATAGTTCCCACATAAAGTCCACTGAAAACACTGTGACTAGAAAAAAGTTAGTAGTAATAATCAATTGCATTTAACATCAGGGAATGTTGACAGAACAGAGATTTCAGCAGAGGGATTTTCTCAAAACTTTGTGGAATTTCTTTTTCAGTACAGTGAAGGAAAAGACCTCATGGTTATTAGAAAAAGCCAAAGAGAAGAAAGTGCCCATGAAAATCTATCCAGATATTACAGGAGACACCATGGCTTGGAAGGGAGAAAGCACGTTTAGTACAGTAAGTGCCAACATTAATCTTTCATTATATATTTATTTATTCACACTGACAATGAAGGGCTTGTCTGAAAATGGAATTCTCCTAAAACTAAACCATGAGAAAGCAATTGCAAGCTCTTTAAGGTCTGAGCTAAAGAAAAGAGTTGGCAGAATTATGGACTGTGAATAAATTACCTGACCAATTTAGCCCTTTTTTCTGCTTGAACCATTTGTGAATGGATTTTTATTAATTTAATTTATATTCATAATAGTTTTAAGAGTTTGAGAGAAGAAATGTTGTCCTCTGGGTTGTTTTTGTTTTGCTAATCAGTGTGTGATTGGTCAGCAAAACCACTCGGTATTGGTACTTTTTCCTGCTAAGAAGTCTGAAACAGGGGAATTTTGAGTAATGATCTTTTTCATGCATGAATTTCCTTATTCACGTGAAAAAATGGTTATTTGAACACAGAAGAACCAGCATCCTATTTATTTGCAGTTTTAAGCATAGCCTTGGCTGTCCCCTATTACATATAGATTAAGCTCCTTGTGCTTTGCTTTCAAGGCTTGAAACTATATCTCTGACTGTTTGTTTGCCTTTTGCATTTCCCAATTCCATTGCAACAGTGCCAGCCTTTATGCTTTCCCCCCGCTTGCTTTCATCAACTTTTGTTTTTGTGCCTTCTTTACTGCTCCCCTTGTGTGGAAATCTTCCCAAGCCTGTTTTCCAAGCCACCATCCTTGCCACATTCAAATCCCTCTAAAATATTTACTTCTGCCATCTGGTCGGCATGAAGTATGGTAAGGAAGAAAACAGCCTAAATGTACAACACCAACCAGCTGTGTTCGACTCACTACAGATATGTCTACACTACAAAATTAGGTCGAATTTATAGAAGTCAATTTTTAGGAAGCGATTTTATACAGTTTATTGTGTGTGTCCCCACTAAGTGCATTAAGGTGGTGGAGTGCATCCACAGTACCATGGCTAGTGTCGACTTTCGGAGCATTGCACTGTGGGTAGCTATCCCACAGTTCCTGCAGTCTCCACTGCCCATTGGACTTCTGGGTTGAGCTCCCAATGCCTGATGGGGCAAAAACATTGTCACAGGTGGTTTTGGGTACATGTCACCAGTCGCCCCTCCCTCCATGAAAGCAATGGCAGACAATCATTTTGTGCCTTTTTTCTGTGCAGACACCATACTGCTAATCACCATCATCCACTGCTTCCGCTGCAGCTCTGCTCTCCTGGTACCATGAATCCACCTTGCAGGTCCTCTCATCGTTCTATTCTCGTGGAATCCATCGTCATCCACTGCTTCCGCTGCAACTCTGCTGTCCTGCAGACGCCATACCACGGGAAGCATGGAGCCCGCTCAGCTAAATGCTGCTATTGTGAGCATTGTAAACACCTCGCGCATTATCCTGCAGTATGTGCAGAACCTGCAAAAGCAGGCGAGGAGGTGACGACAGCGCGATCATGATAGTGATGAGGACATGGACACAGACTTCTCTCAAAGCACGGGCCCTGGCAATTTGGACATCATGGTAGTAATGGGGCAGGTTCATGCCATGGAACGCTGATTCTGGGCCCAGGAAACAAGCACAGACTGGTGGGACTGCATAGTGTTGCAGGTCTGGGATGATTCCCAGTGGCTGCGAAACTTTTGCATGTGTAAGGGCACTTTCATGGAACTTTGTGACTTGCTTTCCCCTTCCCTGAAGCGGAAGAATACCAAGATGAGAGTAGCTCTCACAGTTGAGAAGCGAGTGGAGATAGCCCTCTGGAAGCTTGCAACGCCAGACAGCTACCAGTCAGTCGGGAATCAATTTGGAGTGGGTAAATATAATGTGGGGGCTGCTGTGATCCAAGTAGCCAATGCAATCATTGAGCTGCTGCTATCAAGGGTAGTGACTCTGGGAAATGTGCAGGTCATAGTGGATGGCTCTGCTGCAATGGGGTTCCCTAACTGTGGTGGGGCGATAGATAGAACGCATATCCCTATCTTGGGACTGGACCACCTTGGCAGCCAGTACGTAAACCGCAAGGGGTACTTTTCAGTGGTGCTGCAAGCACTGGTGGATCACAAGGGACATTTCACCGACATCAACGTGGGATGGCCGGAAAAGGTGCATGACGCTCGCATCGTCAGGAACTCTGTTTGAACAGCTGCAGGAAGGAACTTACTTCCCAGACCAGAAAATTACTGTTGGGAGTGTTGAAATGCCTATAGTTATTCTCAGGGACCTAGCCTATCCCTTAATGCCCTGGCTCATGAAGCCTACACAGGCACCCTGGACAGTAGTAAGGAGCAGTTCAACTATAGGCTGAGCAAGTGCAGAATGGTGGTAAAATGTGCATTTGGATGTTTAAAAGCTCGCTGGCGCAGTTTACTGACTAGGTTAGACCTCAGCGAAACCAATATTCCCATTGTTATTGCTGCTTGCTGTGTGCTTCACAATATCTGTGAGAGTGAGGGGGAGACATTTATGGCGGGGTGCGAGGTTTAGGCAAATCACTTGGCGGCCGATTACGTGCAGCCAGACACCAGGGCAATTAGAGGAGCACAGCTGGGCGCCCTACGCATCAGAGAAACTTTGAAAATCAGTTTCATAACTGGCCAGGCTACAGTGTGACAGTTCTGTTTGTTTCTTCTTGATGAAAACCCACCTTCTTGGTTGACTCTACTTCCCTGTAAGCCAACTGACCTCCCCTCTTCGATCACCGCTTTCAGAATCATTAAAGTCATTATTGTTTCAAAATCATGCATTCTTTATTAATTCATCACACAAATAGGGGGAAAACTCGCAAGGTAGCCCAGGAGGGGTGGGGGAGGAGGGAATCACTGGATGGGGGGGTGGATGAAGGGAAGAGGGAAGGAGAAGGCCACATTACAGTTCAAAACTTATTGAATGCCAGCCTTCTGTTGCTTGGGCAATCCTCTGGGGTGGAGTGGCTGGTGCCTGTAGCCTCCCCTGTAGCCGCATTCTTGGGCATCTGGGTGAGGAGGATATGGAACTTGGGGAGGAGGGCAGGCAGTTATACAGGGGCTACAGAGGTGGTCTGTGCTCTTGCTGCCTTTCCTGCAGCTCCACCAGACACTGGAGCATATCCGTTTGCTCCCCCATTAGGCTCAGCATTGCATCCTGCCTCCTCTCAGCGTGCTCCTCCCTCCTCTCATTGTGTTCATTTAATGCTTTCCTGGTCTCTGCCACTGTTTGCCTCCATGCATTCTGCTGAGCTCTTTCAGTGCAGGAGGACTGCATGAGCTCTGAGAACATGTCCTCGCGAGTGCAGTTTTGTTCACCTTCTAATCTGTGCTAGCCTTTGGGACGGAGATGATAGGGGGAGCATAGAAACATTTGCAGCTGTGGGAGGAAAAAACGGGAGAGGAATATTTTAAAAAGATACATTTTAGAGAACAAAGGGAAGACTATTTCACACTGAATCAAGCTATTCACATTACATAGCACATTTGCTTCACCCCCACCCCCACCAGACACAACCGCATGGCTAGTGTCAGGGAAGATCCCTCTCAGCTAAACGCAAACAGCTCAGCATGAACGGGCCTCCCCTCACTGCGTGGCAAAGGCTTTTAGAGTACCTCCAGGAGAGCTTCATGGAGATGTCCCTGGAGGATTTTCGCTCCATCCCCAGACACGTTAACAGACTTTTTCAGTAGCTATACTGGCTGCAAATGCATCCCAAGTCTTCAGGGCAAATTAATCATTAAACACGCTTTCTTTTAAACCCTGTATTATATTTACAAAGGTACACTCACCAGAGGTGCCTTCTCTGGCTTCATGGTCTGGGAGCCCACCTTGGGAGGGTTGGGAGGGTATTGGCTCCAGGGTGATGAACAGTTCCTGGCTGCTAGGAAGAAGGGATTCTTTGCTTGCCTGCTGTGTGCTATCTCCTCCTCATCTTCCTCACCCACAAAATCCTCATCCCTGTTGCATGAGACTCCCCCCTTGCAGGCATCCACAGACAGTGGTGGGACAGCGGTAGGGCCCCCCTCTCAGAATTGCATGCAACTCATCATAGAAGCAGAATGTATGGGGCTCTGACCCAGAGCGACTGTTTGCATCCTTTGTTTTTTGGTAGGCTTGCCTCAGCTCCTTAACTTTCACGCAGCACTGCTGTGTGTCCCTGTTGTAGCCTTTGTCCATCATGACCTTGGAGATTTTGGCAAATGTATTGGCATTTCGTCTTTTGGAACAGAGTTCTGCCTGCACGGATTCTTCTCCCCATTCAGCGATCAGATCCAGTACCTCTCATTGGGTCCATGTTGGAGCTCTTTTGCGATTCTGGGACTCCATGGTCGCCTGTGCTGACAAGCTCTGCATGGTCACCTGTGCTGATCAGCTCGTCACGCTGGCCAAACAGGAAATGAAATTCAAAAGTTCCCAGGGCTTTTCCTATCTACCTGGCCAGTGCATCTGAGTTGAGAGTGCTGTCCAGAGCTGTCACAATGGAGCACTTTGGGATAGCTCCCGAAGGCCAATACCATTGAATTGCATCCACACTACCCCAAATTTGACCCAGCGAGGTTGATTTTAGTGCTAAACCCCTTGCCAGGGAGGAGTACAGAAATCGATTTTAAGAGCCCTTTAAGTCGACAAAACAGGCTTGGTCATGTGGATGGGTACAGGGTTAAATCAACCTAATGCTGCTAAATTCGACCTAAACTCGTCGTAGACCAGGGCCTAGTGTCAGTGGCGTATTAATGCCCAGGCTGACAAATTTTCAGGGGCGGCAAATTTGTAAGAGCAGCCAGAGGCGCCAAGTTTCCCCGGCACCAGTGGGAGCTCATGTCCCACCCCTTCCCCGCCCCAACTCCACCCCTTCCCTGCCCCCATTCCAACCCCTTCCCCAAAGTCTCTGCCCCAACTCCACCCCCTCCCTGCCCCTATTGGTCCCCTTTCCCAAATCCCTGCCCCGGCCCCACCTCCTCCCCTGAGCATGCTGTGTTTCCCCCCTCCTCCCTCCCAGCCACGCGAAGCTGTTTCATGCACAAGTGCTGGCAGGGAGCAGGGAGAAGCAGGACCCGACGGCGCGTTCAGGGGAGGAGGCGGAGCGGAGGTGAGCTGGGTGGGGGCTCGGGGAGCTGCCGGGTGGGGGCGGCAATTATTTCAGGGCCTAGGGGTGGCAAAATCATTAATCTGCCACTGCCTAGTGTGCATGTGGTCTTTTCACCATAATATTTTTAGCCTCCTCTCTCCTTTTGTCCCTTTTGACTCTCGACTGCTGTGCCTGTTGAATTTGGACTGTGTGCTGTGGAGGGCAGAGACCATAGCTGAATGTGGTTCAGGAGGCACCTATTACTTTTCGGAGCGCGCAAGAAATAACACATTTACTAAACATTATTGTAACCCAAACCCATTCAGGAGCAGCCTGTAAAATGTGACGGAAACCAAAGGCCATGATTTCCAATGAATGTCCACCAACCATTTTTTACCATGTTCACCTAGGAAGTGCAGAATACAGCATTACAAAAACAACAAAAATCAAGCACATTCTGTGTAATCAGAGCTAGATCTCTAGCTGATGTAAGTGCATCTCCATTGACTTCAGTCCAACTGTACTCATTTTACACCCATCTCAGGGTCTCGACCATAATCCCACATGATCTACAATAGGGCTTATCAGCATGTGGTCCATGGGCCACCCCTGAGCCTCGGAACCCTCCTGGTGATCTGCACAATTGAGTCTCAATTTATTTAACTTTTTGGGACTGAGTTGGTGGATGGCAAAAGATGGCTGTAAAACTGTGTATCTTAGGAAGTGCTCCCAAAATAAAGAGGTTGGCTAATGATATTAAGGCGTGTGTGTGGCTATGACCTTGAGAGCTATGCCAGCAGGCGTTTTAATTCCTGATAGGGCCACCCCAGGCCAACAGGTCAGATGGGACCAGATAAAAAATCAGTCTACTGGCCCTTCATGTTGGGCATTGAGTGAGAGGCCAACAACTTGTCTTTGTAAAAAAAAAAAAAAAAAAAAGCTATAGAAACACAAAATAGACATTCTGGCAAACAGTATAATAGATGGGTATGGTGCATCCTTGTTCATGGCCCAAGCAATGTCTGATGGCATAAGAAAAATTCATATTTAAGCTGACAATGTGATTGTAGCTATACTAAACTCAATGAGGAGTTCATACAAAATTAAGTTTAAATTTCATTTCAACCTCTATTTTTCTACACTTCATTTCAGGTTTCAATGAACATAGAGTCTAATTGAAAACCACTGGGTTTCACTTGATTTTTGTGTAAAATCCACAGATTTGTCCATGACTTTCATGCAAATAAGTCAGTTGATCCAGGTTCTCTGGAAAGGTTCATGCAATTTAGGAAATCTTTCTCTCAACATTTTTTTAAATCATAGACTCAAGTCAAAGCTCAGACCAAAACGAGATGAGTTTATGTTGGCTATAGGTTTTACTGCAAACATTTTGCATACCTCTAACTGTGATGATTTTCCCAATCTCACTGTCACTGGCAGTGCCATTGAAGCTTATACCCTCTGATGATCCATGGTCTTTGGAAGGATGAATTTGTGTGTGACATTGACTGGGGCAAAAGTGTCCATGTCAATAGTTGTGAAAATGTGGGGGAGCCCTGCAGACAGTTTCCAAAGTCTGTTTTCCCCATAAAATCTTATTAGTTATGTGATCCTAAGAGCCCTTGTTACCCACAGCCATAGGGCACGCTGTCACTCATTAGAGCCATTCAATTCACTGCACCCAACACTGTTCTTATGATATTTATCCCAAAGGTATTGTGTAGGTTATCATATAAAAACCAATAACATGCTGAGTATTAATGTCATTGTAAAATCCATGTGTTAATGTTATATGTGAAGTTATGAATTCCCTCTGTATGATGTTACTAACCAATGTTTAAGACCAGACAGCCTAATCTAGGTAAAGGTGCTAAACAGGTCTGTCCTAAATAAAAGAATGTGGGTTTTCCTCAATTTACATATTAGCAGTAAAAAATGCCATGGCACTAAGCCAGCAGTGGTTATCCTGATCCTGAATTCAAGAGACAGAGAATTAACATGGTTCCTGCACCCCAGAGAGAGACAGGAGACTGGATCCCCAGGAGGCCTTCCTGACTTATCAGACACACACAATCCTTTTGGGTATATGAGGAACAGAGGGAGAGAGAGAGAGGTTTCCTTTATTCTTTACCTTAGGAAGCAAAGGAACCAAGCGATTTGATCTCTGTGATGGGTCCTGGCCAGAAAAAAGCTGGAAAGGAGACTGAGTGAGAGAAATCATCTTGAACCATGACTGTATCTTGCTGGTTAAGGTTGAGTCTTTTAGAAGCATATTTTCACTTTTATTTGCTTGTAACAGTTTCTGCCTTTATCCCTTTTACTTGGTATAACTTAGTCCTTGTTCTTCAGTACAATAATAAACTTATTTTGCTTTCATTATAAAACATCCGTGCTATGTAAGATGAGCAAAGTGTGTGCTTATAGACAGCTAACAGGTTGGAGTGTGTTAGAGGACTTTCCCTTCACCCTCTCCCCTGGTCCTTGTCACACAGACAGAAAGCAGAGGACCAGAAATCTGAAGTTCAGGCAATGCAATGTTTATTGGGGTTAGTCCCCCTTCCTAGCTCTGACGCCGCAGAGCATTTACCCTGTGTCCCGATTCCCACCTCCTCCTTTTAGCAGGCCCAAATATACCTGCAATGCACGCCCACAGTCCCACC